CACTCAGTAAATCGGTGAGGCTGGGAATTTGTACAGTCAGTGACTACAAAGAGTCTGGTGTCATTATCAGAGTAGGGATTAAAGAAGTATGGAAAGCAGAGGCTGAGCATTTTCAAAGGATTTGGAGCACTTGTAGTGAAAGCAGTGGGTCAGCAAATAATAAGATATTCAGTCCTTATCGTCTACTCATTGGCTTAGCACTTCAATTACTCATTCATAAAATTTTACTTCCAGGAAACAGGATTACTTGTCTGTGCAGGCTTCCTTCTTTCACTACTGTATAGTTGCTTTATGTGTCCTGTGTGTGTGTGGGGGGGGTGTTGGTGCATGGGTGTATGCAGATGCTTATGGAGGCCACAGGTCAACCTCAAGTGTTACTCCTCAGGACCCACCCACCTTGTTTTTTAATCCCAGGTTTCTCACTAGCCTGGGGCAAAAGCTGTGATTCGCACAACCAAATACAACAGAGGCTCCTCTCTGCACATGGAATGGAACGGTAACACACTTAAGTAGGGAAATGGCTTTAAGAGCTGCTTAGACTTTTATTTCTTACAGGTTTTCAGTCTTTACAATGCATAGAGAATGGTGAACTTGCAAATTGTTTTCCTAAACTTTATTTTTGCATTTTAATATGCAAGAATATGTCTATGTCATTTCACTAACAGAATGCATGAAATCCAGTGCGTTTGTGTTGGGGGGGGGGAACTATGGAAGACTGTGTATGAAATACACAATAAAAAGCATATAAAAACAGAGCATGTCATTTTGAAATTCGGTTTGGCCTTTGACTTTTAATTCAAGGCAAATTCTCTCTTATTTTTAATAGTGATCCCGTAAGCTCCTCAGACTTCCAAAAACTTAGATTTAGCCTTGGGCTAAACACTTCAGGCTAAGTTTAGCAGCTATTAGGAATAATGCAGTAGGTAGGCAGGTTCTGGAAGTACTAGAGGTAAATTCAGGACATTGTGAAACAGTCAAGCACTTAGAAAAGTACCAATTGTGAAAGAGTGACCTATTTCAAAACCAGGCATAGGTACAGCTATTCTTATCTTCAAGTCCAGACTGTTCCCACTTTAGAAACAAAATATTTCTATCTTCAACCTTTCTTAGATATCATCATATTAATTTAACATGCACAAGTAACTCAGGTTTCATCTTAGGTGTTATCTTCAAGGTATCCTCCTTACTATGATTGCCTCATAAACTTTTATTATGTATTTATGTTTTTCTTCCATTCAAAAATCTTTAGAGAGGACTGGTGAGATGGCATGGTAGGTAAAGGCCCTTGCTACCAAACCTGATGGTGGGAGGAGAGGACCAGCTCTCTCCTTTCCCTCTAAAACACACACACACACACACACACACACACTATAGCTTTGGACATAAAAGAAAATAGCTATGAATCAGACAAATCTTTCTAGATTAATGAGACCTTTTTTTGTTTTTTAGTTTTTTGAGACATAGGTTCTCTGTATCTCCAGCTGGCCTGGAACTTGCTATGTAGACCAAGTTGATCTTCATCTCGTAGAGATCCACCTGCTTCTGCCTCCTGAGTGCTAGGACTAAAGGCATGCACCACACCTACCACCTACCTACCTTTTTTGTTTTTAAAGTTTCTTGAAACTTACTATTATGGGATAGAGAGAGACCGTAAAGAATAATAAATACAGGGGCTGGAGAGGAGCGATGACTCAGTGGTTAACAGCATTGGATGCTCTTCCAGAGGACTTGGGTTCACTTCCCAGCACAACCATCCATAACTCCAGTTCCAGGGGAATCTGACGCTCTCTTCTGACCTCCTTGGGTATTGTACAACACAGGTGTACTTATATACATGCAGGCAATACGCTCATCCTATCCACACAAAATAAAAATATTTTAAAAAAGAATACAATAATATAGAATTTCATAAATAAATGTACTTTGAAGATAAGTATTTGAAGAAAGCAATGAACAATAATTTAGGTGGTGACCATTACTGGGGTCCTAAGGTCAACTGGTCTCTCTTGAGTGTTATGTTTGAGAAGAGACTTGGATACACTGAGTCAATAAGCTGTGCAGAGAAGAGAGGACAGCAAAGTGAAGAAGCCAATTGCGGACAATAAGCCTGGTAGGTTGAGGGCCATCTTGGCTGGACAGCATGTGGCATGAGAGGGGGAGACAGGAGAAGTAACAGTAGGCGAGAAGGCAGCTTTCATATCAAGTAGAGCTTTGGAAATGTAACCTTGGAGTTTAGGTTTTCTTCTAAATTTTAGTGTAAATGCTTATTAGGGTTTGAAGGAGGAAATTGTATGATGTTTTTATTCTCTCTTTTGAAGTTCCCTTGTTTTCTCAGATTAAAAATTCAGAGGGGGGATGTTAGAGTAGCCAAAAAAAGAGTACACAAAGTTGTTAGGAAAAAATGGTGGGAAGATATGGGAGGAACTGGAGGGGAGGGAGTGGTCATGGATGTGATCAAAACACCTTATATGCATGTATGAAATTCTCAATAAATTATTTTAAAAAGTTAAAAATATTCATAGATTTCTTTAAGGGTCTACATAAGTCATTATCATCCATTGAAAAGCCTTTTGCAATGTTGGGGGGATGTTATTGGGTGGTCCTTGTGGATCCCAAGCTCTCCCTGGGGACACTTCTCCATATCATTTCCATTTCTGTCAAAGGCAAGTCTTAGACTCTGGTTAGTACGTGTTCATTTTATTCTGGTCTAAGGAGGTAGGCAGTAGACGGCCGGGTGTGTGACTCAATGGTACAGTGCTTGCCGAACATACTCAAGCCCTGGCTTCCTACTCCAGCACTGCAAAGATTTACACTTGCACAGCAATGGCATGAGACAGATACTATAAGGGGATCTGATGACCGGCTGATGAGAAGAGTTTCTGTCAGGAGGCCTTTGTTTCTGTCTGTCGGGCTTTGAGGATCCTTCTCCCTTTCTTATTTCTGTATTTGTTGTGAGTTATTTACAAGGTGTTGTTGGCTTCATACATGTAAGCTGTTTTTATGAGAGTTTTGTTTAAAGCTCATAAAGTTGCCTTTGTGGAGATCCTGTATTCCAGAAATCTCTACTCAGTGGCCTGTGGAATGGCTCTTGCAAGATACTGGCACTGGGTTTATGATTATCATGATCTTACACTCCTGTTTTCCCTGACCACACACTTCATTTCCTTCCCTTTCCCAGGATCATCTCTTTTCATTTTTCCCCATTTGCATCTTTCTCTACCAAAGTGCAGGCTTCTGTGGTATATTTCTCTGCTACAGTAAACATCTCCTTTCTAACTTGTCTTTTTCAAACTGTCAAGTCCTTCAGTGAAGGATTATTTATCTTCTTGTATGGGCACAGTTGCTAGAACAGTGTGTAGCTCACAGTAATGCTAAACAAATGAATGCTGAATGAACAAATGAGTTCTTGAATTACCCTCGAAGCTATGCTTCCGGTTCTAACCTTTCTATTGAATGCCAGTCTGTTATGTTTAAATTCCTTTAGGCATTTTCAATTGACTGTTCTGTTTTTCCTCAAAGTCAAATTCACATACTCATTAGCCCCTTTCCAACTTTTCCATTTTAATAGGTAACATCAACATTTTTGTTATTTCCTAGGTCACAAATTTTAGAGTAACTGGATTTTCTCTGGATGTTTGGAATTGTCATTACTCCATCTTATTGACTTAAAATTTGGTTCAGACTTTCATTGTCTAATTCCTAAAAAAGTGTAATCGACATTTACAGCCTGGAGTGTCTTCTGACTAAAATTTCTTCTCTCTTAAAATTCATACTGTTTACCTCTGCAATACCATTCACTGTCACTAAGACATTTCATTAATAAATTCATGGTTTGTTCCATTTTCATGGTGTGTGTACCGAAACGTCCTTATTTAATATTCCATGAACTAAATGATATTATTTTATCCTTGTATAGATTAGAAAACTGAGATTTAGTTAAGTTATATCCTTCAAGGTCAGTTACACCAGTGAGAAAATAGAATTGAGATTGGACTACATATATATCTAGTTGAGAACAATGAGCTCTGCTAAATCATTAATTTGGTACTTAACATCTTAAATTCCTGTCTCACTTGAAAGACTTCCATGACATGTCCCACCAACCTTAACTTCCATTACCATTACTCTTGAATATTCTGTCATTTTTCAAATTTATTTCAAATTATCTGCTAAGGATTTACCTGTGCTTTTAAACTTCTACTGAATGGTAAACACTAAGTTGATGTGCTGTTGGTTGCTATGATTCAAACACCAACTGAAATAGAACATTTTGCCTATCCTGAACACCGCCTACTTTTTAAATTATTTAATAAACATAACAGTACAGTAACTATACAGATTTACTGTTTCTAAGATATTAGGCCCAATTTGGAGACAACTTCAAAGTATAGAAAGGTACACATATGCAAATACTATGCCATTTCATCTAAGAGATTCCAACATCCTCAAATTTTATGTCTGTAGGGTTCTGGGACCTAATCCTTTTTGAACTGAGGGATACCTGTATTATATCTTCTTGAATTTCTTTTAGGGTATTCCACTGATGCTCCACAATAAATTATCAGTAAATAATTTGTAAAATCTTGAGCATAGTCCTTCATACATAAGTATACCTACTAAATTGTAACATTATCACCTGAAGCCAGAAGGCTTCACATTGAAGATCCAGGCAGATAGAAAGTTTTGATCTCTTCTTCAATCCTAAGAACTTTGCACTTGATCTTTTCACAATCAGACTAAAAGCTACCCACATTAAGTTACTTTTTAGGGTTATCCCATCTTTTCTATGAAGCAAAGTCAAGTAAGATACAGACAGTGCTGTAATATCAATAGCAAAGTTCTTTCACCAATGCGTCGTCTTTGAGTACACTGGAGAAAGAAAAATGGAATAGTTATGTTATTTTTCCCGATGGAAATGGAAATGTGCTTTCATTTACCATTAGGAGTATTTTTCCAAGAGTTCCTGTTTCGAGATTCGCATGTACAGAAAGCAGCACTCTATACGCATTTCCCCCTGTCCCTTAAACACAGCTTCAACCCAAGCCTAGAGCAGAATAGCCAGATCCCCAACAGCAGGAAACTTGAGGCAGAGAAACGGCGGACTTAGGACCTCGCGGAAGCCAAGTTCTCGAAGCTCCCGCTAGGAGCCGTCGCGCCACGTGGCGTCACACGTCCTCCCGGAAGTGCCGTGAGTGACGCCGGAGGCGTGTCTCCAGGTCCCTCCGCGTGGAGTTACCTGAGAAACGCGGGAGTTTTGGCTGTCGTCGGCGCGGAGAGTGGCTCGTCTTCGGCGGAGTGCCACGAGTCGCGGGCGTCGGAGCGCGGGGCCGAAGAGGCGCCGCCATGGAGGTGGGGGAGGCCGCTGCCCAGTTGCAGACGCTCAAGTTCAGCGGCACCGGCCTCGGGGTCGGCCCTGGGCCCGCCGCGTCCGCGCCGGCACCGCAGCCGCCTGAGGAGGGCCGGGACATCGAGCCGGCCGTGGAGGCCCCGCCGCAGCCAGGCCCGAGCACGCACGCAGGTGGGAGCCCCGAGCGGCCGCCGAGAGAGGACTGCGTCACCGGCCCGGGTACCGCGCAGCCGCCGCAGGCCCCGCAGGCCCCGCAGGCCCCGCAGGCCTCGGACTCCTCAGACTCGGACTCGGATTCAGACAGGTGGAGTGTCTGCGGCCCCGGAGCTGCAGGACCGGAGGGGGGATCTGGGTTCTGCGTTCGGAGGATGCGTCTGGGCCTTGCCTCAGTGCGCACGCGTGCTCGCCGAGCCCCGACCTCGCTATCCCCACCTTCCCTGTCTCCGCGCAGTACTTGTTTCCTAAACTTGGTAGTCGGAAAGGTTGCACCTTAAGGTAGCATTTGTACGGTGTAGAAATAAGCCTTACAGTGCAGAAAATCTGAAGTTACTAATTTATTTCCATAGCAACTTGGTTTTTCTTGTACCTTTATGGTTACAACTTTTGAGTTTTGTTGCAGGCCACAGTTGCTACTTTTCCATTGACTCCGGTGTGTAGGTTATTCATTTATTTATTTAGATCCGGAAAAGGATTATTTTGTTTCAAACTTGACTCCTTCCCCCACCCCCAGAAGTGTGCCATGTAACCAGGCTGGCCTCAAACTGGCCAATACGGATGACACTGGACTCCCGATGCCCAGATCCTCCTGCCTCCACATCTCAAGTGCAGGGATTACAGACACACCCCTGCTTCGCTCAAGTGCAGGCATTGCGCGCGCGCGCGAACACACACAGACACACACTATGCTCCTCTCACAGTTGGTTCTTTCCAGTTAATGTTAATTCCTAGGATCCTGGTAAGGAGCACGAGTCCATGAAATTAAATTAGCTGAATTGGGGCTGTATGTTTATTAGACCCTCTCCCCTGTGTCCTTTCATTGTGGAAGAAGATCCAGCATACAGAATATTACGAAAATACACTGAACATTCAGATATTTGAGGAAATTGTTTGTGATCGAGGGAATAGGACTGAACAGGTGAGCAATATAGAGAAACGAGATGTGAACTTGGTGGGAAAGTCATTATTATGAGTGGCAGTGGGCATGGTTTCTAGTAGAGGAAGAAGGCATGCCTACACGGGGAAGGGGACTAAGCCAGTTGTAAACAAAGCTTGGTTTCTTGGCACTTCTAGATTATAGTCATCATGTGTAAATTCAGAGCTACGTTGCTGGGAAAGTGGTGGAAGTCGTAGAGAGCTCTGGAGCCAGGCTTTGGAGGGAAACATGGGGTGTGACGCAGTAAAACAGCTCAGCGTCGAGAAATGACTTCTGACCCTTTGTGGCAGAGGGTACCAAATATTTGAAAAAGTGAGAAATGGTATAGCTTTTTGCCTGTGAATTCAAGTAAATGTTGTATGACTTTTTCTGGGGAGGAGTGAACATCTTTTGGCTCCAGGTAGTAACAGGCAAAGAAACAGTTCCACCTGTCTAGCTTAGTGAACCAGTGAGTTATTGGGATCCTTTACAGGAACATAAGTTACTTAAAGGCATCTGTGTCATTGAAAAACCTGCCCAGCAGTGATGACAAAAACTGTATCCCTGGCGAACTTGTAGGCAGCTCCACCAGAGTCCTCTCCCCAGCAGCTGTTTACTACTGTCATAACCTGGGGTCCTAGACTTTGGAATCTTGAACCTTGTGAATCTTTTTAAAAACTATTTTATTTATTTATTGTCTTTTTGAGATGGGGTCTCCCTGTAGCCCCAGCTGTCCTGGAACTCACTATGTAGACCGGGTTGGGGCCTTGTACTCACAGAAATCCGCCTGCCTCTGCCTCCCAAGTGCTGGGACTACAGGTGTGCACTATCATGCCTGGCTATTTTATTATTTTTTATGTGTACAAATCTATTGCCATTGCCTGTGTGTGTGTAAACCCCCCCCCCCCAACCGTGGCCGTGTCATGCAAACCTCGTGGAGGTCAGAAGAGGGCATTGGATCCCCTGGAACTGGAATCACAGACGGTTGTTAGCCACCATGTTGGGTGCTGGGAATTGAGTCCTGGTCCTCTGTAAGAGCAGTCAGTATTGCTCTTAACCACTGAGCCATCTCTGCAGCTCTGAGCCTTGTGAATCTTGAGCTTTGTAAGTTTCTTAGCTTCCTGAGTCTTAATAAGCCTCTGTCTTCTCTTTAGGAGGGAATGTTTCAATTTGGAGGAAATAGGTATATAACCTCTATACAGTTGTTTTTTTAAGGAATTTTCAACAGCCTCTAGGAGCAGTTTGAAAAGTACTCTGAGAGGTAAGGTGTCAGAGAAAGTAGTGTGTGAGTTAAGCCTTGAAAGAGGAATTGAGTTATTCTGGACTGAGGATATTTCAAGCAAAGAAAATAGCATAAATACATTATAATAAAAATGCCACGGAATTTGTAAAGTTTATATGATAGGAGCTTGTGTGCTAGATATGGTCTCTGTGTAAGAAGTAGTAGGAGATAGGATCTGAAGCATATAGGACCCGCATTTCAGAGAGCTCTAAGACCAATATGCCAAAGTTCATGGCTTTTTATCTTGTACACAGTATAGGTTTTTGGAAAAATTTTCAAACCTTTTCTGTATGTTTGAATACTAATAAAACGTAGAGAAGTACCTAAATAGACCATCCTGATTTAACAGGTATCCATATTTTGAAACTGTTAAACGTTTTTGAACTATTTTGAACTCATTTGCAGATAGGACACCTAAATATTTCAACACAACATTCTTTTTTGAGACATGTTCTTATTTGGTCAAAGGTGACTTTGGCTTTCTACGATCTGCTTCTGAGAGAGTCGGGATTTCAGGCATGCACCACCGTGTTTGGAAAGTGGACATTCCCTTATAGACACAACACTACCAAAATCACAAATACTGGTTTATATAAAATGATTCTCACCTATTTTCCAGTCATACATGGTTGTTTTAAAGCAAGAGCTCATGATGATGGGAGGCCGCAAGAGGTGAACACAACAGCAATGGGATGAAGAGTAATGTAGGACATGTTTGGCATTGGATGTACACTATTGAAGCAAAGATGAGAAATGATGTCCTGAAGTGGTAGAAAAAGGTGAAGTGGGAAGGACTAAGAGATTGAACTCTAGCACTGACCTAGAAATGAGGTAGCCTTAATCTAATTCCAGGGTCTTGCCTACCATGACTGAATTGTAGATTAAGCAATGAAATAAACACAGAAGCTCAGGGGAAGATTCTGATTCAGTAAGAAGAATGAATTATCTTGTTTTTAATGTATTGGAGGTATGAGGTGTGTGTAGGTGGTTCAAACAGTTGTGATTGGTCTGCAGCTAGGTGTTGGAGTGCAGAATAGTAATGCAAAGCTGAAGATGGAGGAATTTATCTGTTCATAGATGATTGAAATTATTGGAGTAACTGTCATATCCAGAGAGTATAGAGGGGAGGAAGTGACTGGATAGAACCCTTCAAAACCTGCTGAAGTAGTGGAGCCAGTTGGGCCAAGAGTCAAAAGAGTTTGCACAGTAGAGTGGTCAGCATAGCACTTTGAGGAATTCCAAGTTGAAAATGGCGAAGAAACTTGAGAATTAAGTAGTCTTCTTGGTGACTAAGACGTGCTTTGTCTGGAGTTATCATTAGTCAGTGATGGTCACATGCTTACTGTATTCAGACAGATGTATGTCATGTGACATTGTTGGCACCAAGAGCGCCCAGGCTTTATATTTCTGTAAAGACGTATGTCCAGTGCCACAAATGGCCTTCCACACAGTTGCCCTTCATCTCACTGCTGTTATTTTCTCCTTGTGACCTTCCATCCTCATGAGCTCATGATCTTGAAATGGGGATATTTGAAAATGGACAAAAGACTAGTTTCCCAACAACATAACCTGTTTCAAATGTTAGTTTTTTAATTAGACCAGCAATAGACACAAGATAAAGTAAATTTTTCCACTTGAAAAAATTTTATTTCAGTACATTATAACATTATCTGACCAAGGTTTCAATTTTTTCTTTACAGTGAAACAGATTCAGATAGTTCAAGCTCCTCCTCCTCTTCATCATCTTCCTCATCATCTTCCTCTTCCTCTTGTGTATCACTTCCTCCTGTGTTGTCAGATGGAGAAGATGATTTACAAATTGAGAAGGAAAATAAGAATTTTCCTCTTAAAACAAAAGATGAGTTACTTCTTAACGTAAGTACTTAGATTTAAGTTGAATTTTCATGTTTTAAATATACTAACGTGTTACGTTGATACTATTTTACTCTATAAACTTTATGCCTTTTCTCAATTTATTGCATATACTTTTGTCATGCTTTGACTTTCTTTTATAAGATAGTGATTTGGATAATTTCTAAGTTTGCTTCCAACCCTGACAACAACTTAATTACTGATAATTTTGCTACGGTATGAACCTCACTTTGGTGACAGAAAAATGTTTAGAAGACTATCTGGGCTGGGGATATAGGTCATTCAGTTTTAGAGCACTTGTTTGGCATGCATGGATCCTGTGGCCCTGGGTTCAGATACCAGCACTGCTCCAAACAGGAAATGATCCTTCTGTAGTTTTACAGCCTTCTTTCTATTGTTTTTGTACTGAAGTTTCTTCAGTAGCAGTCAAAACCTTTTCAGTTGCTTGCTTTTAAATTACTTTATTTATTATTTTTATTTTATGAGTATATTGCCTGCATGTATATAAGTGTTGTGCAGTGCCCAGGAAGGTCAGAAGAGGGTGATGGATTCCTCTGAAACTGGGGTTATAGACAGTTGTTAGCTGCCATGTGGGTGCTGGGACTCGAACCCCAGTCCTCTGCAAGAGCAACCAGTGCTCTTATCTACTGAGCCATCTCTCCAGCCCCAGTTGATTGCTTTTAAAGAAGTAGAATCCAAAATTCATTTGGTTTAATGAGTTTTAAGCATTTTAGGATTCCTAGTCACTTGAAACCTTAATTTTTTTTTTTTTTTTTTGAAAGCTTTCAGCTAGAGAACGCTTGTCTATATGGAATAGTGCATATTGGGTTTGTTGGCAAAGTTAATGCTTGTGAGGCATTTTCTCTTAAGCTGTGTAAACTGTCCTAGCAGAATGATGGCAAGTTTGGTTGAAGCTTGTGACTCAAGAGAAAAGTCTGAGAACTTCAGACTCAGCTAAGTCACTACATGCTTTTCTTGCAGTCTATGGATTTTAGTTATTAAAGCTTTTTAAAAGTTGAGTAGTCTCCAGGGGCTGGAGAGATGGCTCACCAGTTAAGAACACTGAATGTTCTTGCAGAAGACCCAGGTTCGAAGCCCATCATCCACATGGCAGCTAACAGCTGTTTGTAACTCCAGTTCTAGGGGGATCCGACGCCCTCTTCTGACCTCTGTGGGCATTGCATGACATGGGAGCACTTCTATACATGCAGGCAATACACACATATACCTAAAATAAAAATAATAAATAAAATATTTTGAAAAGTTGAGTAGTCTCTTCTCATAATTAATAAAGACTAAATGAGCTAGTTTAATAGATTTGGAAAAGAGAGAATTAAAAAGTTAGAGACATAGTTGACTGAATTCTACCAATATTTTTTCTGCTCAGTCAGAAATGTTGTCTCAGTTGTGCTTGATGCATTGAGGATCTTGGGCTTGTGTGCTGTGGTTTATGTTTTCATGCTGCATACATGTTAATAGCTCATGATGGTCTGATGCAAGTAAAAGCTCCCAATCTAGAATTGTTTTCTGAATGTATTGGGAGGATTGTTTGGTGTCTTTTACCTGTATCTTGATGATCATCTTTCAAAAGTTCTCAGTATAAGAGCCAATAAATAGTATATTTATAGAGTTTTATTAATCTTATTAGTTTTGAATTTCTTACCTTGGGAATCCCTTGAAATTTAATGCAAACTCTTGCCTTTTAAAAATACTCATACTTTCACTAGACTTTCACAGGGCCACACTGGCTAGGGACCACATTCCTTGAAGACCAAGTTCATAGCAGGTCTTTGCATTTTCCCTGGTACTCTGAGAGTAGATTTAAAGTCAAAAGCAATAGTGATTTTAGAATGAATGTATAAGTAGGTATCTTTCCTCCATTTGTGTTTTTGTTTAAGAAATGATTGTGGCAAACCTGCCATATGCCAGATGCTTTAAACAAAAGCAATCCTGGTCCTACCTTCATAATACTTAGTGGAAAGAGACAGTAAACAGTATAGAGACAGATTTAATTTAGGAGTGTAAAGAAAAAGTTGAGAACAGGTTGAAGCTAGTGAAATGAGTGTTCTCTTTGCTTGGGCATGCGTCTCCTAGTCATTCCTATTTGCATAGGCAAGTATGTAGGAGGTAAGGGTGTGGGGAGAAAGTGAAAGCTTGAAAAGCACAGGGCTCCTGTGAGAGAGATAGAGGGAGTGCCCAAAAGCCAGTGACAGGAAGGGATTGTGAATGTGTATTTTGAGTAGGGTGGGGCTTGTGTCTCACTGTGCTGTATAAAGCACATGGGTGGGTTTTCTGACACAAGAAAGGCAGGCTTTCATTCTTTCCAGAAGGGATGCTGAGCAGTTGGAATATCAGTGTTATTCTTTGGAGGTAAATATTTGAAAGTAATTATGATGCCTGACTTAGGACTCAGTATTGTGAGGAGCACATACTTAGATTAACTCGAGACAACAGAGGGATTTTAAAGTTGGTTTTGAAAGCCACGGGAACTAAGGCAGCTGTTGGGTCATACCGGTTCTTTCATGTGCCCCTTGGATGTTCTCATATCTCATAGTCCATTGAGTATCAGGTCATTCTGTCTTTAGGAACTGGCTTCCTCTCTGCACCTCTAGATCGAGCTTTTTTGTTTTAGCTTTCCTGATTTCTGTGTCTGTAAATACAACTTTTTTTTTTTTTTTTTTTT